TAACTACTGAAATTCAAATCATTGTTACCTAGGAGAATAATGAAGAGGCATCTGGGGGAGTGACTTGCTCTTCCTTGGTGGTGATTTGCTTCCAGTAATTCTTCTTTTTTTTTTTGTACATCTTGTATCTTCTCTTGAGATTAATGAAAATTCTATGTTAATGTTCTTTCTTCTTGTTTTGAACATTTATGTTAATGCTCAGAGAAGGAAGAAAAAAAAGAGAAGGAAGAAAAAAAAGAAGAAAAAGATTAGCATGATTTATATGCCAATAGAAACTCTATGGTCCTAGTATTATCTTGTCCAATAAATTGGTGTCTGGTGACAATAGAAAGATCCAAGTGATGGGTCGCCACTCTCAACTGATCGGGCCTGATTTCTTGTCAACCCGGTGGGTCCGATATGGGTGACTCGGTTGGAGGAACCCTCTCTCGAACAACGGCAGGGCCCACGCACATGTGCGTGTGCGTGACGTGCAGAGAAAAATCAACAAATAGAGATATTATAATCGGCAACGAAGAATTCGGCTCCCTCGCTTTACTGCACAGCACTCGGATCCACACACTAAAAATAGCCTTCAGGGTATACCTTTTGGTATCTCCTCATATTGGTAGTTATATGGTAGATTGGGGGTCTAGTCTTAAGAGTTAGAGGGGTTGAGAGTGGATAGAGAAGAAGAAATAGAGAAGAAAAAGGAGGAAACCGACCCAGAATTGGGCAGCCTTCCGGTGTCACCTCGAGCAAAATGTATTATTGGAGACAAGAGAGATACTGGGCTTGGAGACCACAGGTATTCAAGAGAGTGTGGTCCGTAGTTCTAGTTTATCGAGAGCTCACTTCCAAAAAGGGAGATTGCGGTCTGTTGATCTAGACTATCACGAGCTCACTTCCGTATAGGCCCCTAATAAGTAACTAAGAAGAAGATGAACAGAGAAATAAGATATGCTATGAGAAAAGAGTGAGAATATAAGAAAAAGAATGCCTCTGAAAACTCTGATATCTTTCTAGCATCCCCTCTCTAAGGAGGTAATTGGAAACGTCGAAAAGGTCCCTAGACTTCAAGACTAAAATCAAGAGCACTCCGGAGGATTCTAGAGAGTGAGGTTTGTAGTTCTAGACTGTCGAGAAATCACTTCCGAAATTGGAGAGTGAAGTTTGCAGTTTTAGACTATTGCGAAACCACTTCCAAAGAGCATCGTGAACCGAGTTTAGAAAGATAGATAGAGTATGAGAGAAGTGGATTTATAAGAGATGAGAGAGAGAAATGGAATGCGAGAAATGAAATTAGAGAATTAAGAGAGAAGGAAGAAGAAGACAAGAAGAGAGTGAGGGAGTAAATGAGAAAGAATGATAGAGATCCCTCACGACCTAAACACTATGTAAACCAGTGGCTAGAGCAGTTTAAGGGTTAAAACTCTAAGAAAGTTGTCTCAGGATGACCCTAGCCCAAGTGATCGAGCGCAAGAGAATCTGTGTATCTTACAACTCAACAACACTATATGAATTGATGGTTAGAGCAACAATTTGAGAGTTAGAATCCTAAAGCACTATCTCAAGAAGACCCCTGCTCGAGTGTGAGAGAAGAAGTGAATGAAGGGAGAGAATGAAGAAATGATAAAATAAAAGATCAATGGAAGAGAGAGAATGATAAAACAAAAAAATGAAATAGAATAAAGATAGGAGAATAAGAAGTGAGGGTGTGAGTTAAGGAGAGAGAGTGAGAGCAGTTAAAGAGATGAAGTTAAGGAGAGAGGCCGAGAGGAATTAAAGAGATGAAGAGAGATTGGACCCGCTTGTGACACGGGTTCGTGCACCTTGGTGGATAGGTAGAGGTGAGAAAGGGTAGGATAGAAATAGGTAAATGGGACCCAACTATGGTGCAGGTCTGTGCGTCTAAGGGGTGAGAAAGAGTGAGAGAGTGAGTAAGATAGGGAGAAAGTATGAGGGATGGACCCGCCTATGGTACGGGTCTGTGACCTAGTCTGTGAGAGAGAGAGAACGAGAGAGTAAAAGAGAGGGGGAGATGACAGACCCGCCTAGGATATAGTTCCGTGATTCAGTGAGGGGGAGAGGGGGTACGAGGGAGAGAGATAGAGAGAGGGGGTAGACGGACCTGCCTAGGGCATGGGTCTGGGACTAGGCAAGAGAGAGAGTTAATAAGAAAAAGAGACGAAGAGAAGCCGAATCTGCCCTAGGTGCGGGTCCAAAACTTTTTAAGCAAGAGAGAGAGTGATAGTGAGCAAAGAGAGAAAGCAAAGAGAGAGAGAGAGAGAGAAAGAGGGCACAGACGCGCCCTGGGTCCGAGTGGAAGAGAGAGAGAAAGTGAGAGAACAGAGAGAGAAAATGAGAGAAGAGAGAGAAAAGAAGATTAAGAAGTGGGAAGAAAGAAGAGAGAGAGGAAGAAGAGATCTGGGATTGGGTAGCCTTCCGACGTAACCTCTCCTAAGAAGTATTACCAAAGACCAAAGAAGGTACTAAGCTTGAAGCCTTAATACCCGGAGGGTTCGGGAAGCGAAGTCGTGGGCTTAGCCCATCGGAAAGTTACTAACCCAAAGAGCCCATTTTTAAGTAAACTAGAGAGAGAAGAGAAGAAAGAATGAAGAGAGAGAAATAGAAGAAAGAGAAAAAAGGGAGAGGGGAAGAAAAACTAGGGATTTGGATGGCCTTTCGGTGTAACCTCTCCTAAGAGGTCTTACCGGAGACAAAAAAATGTACTAGGCTCGAAGCCTTGATACTCGGAAGATTTGAGAAGCGAAGTCGTGGGATTAGCCCATCGAGAAGTCACTAACCCAAAGAGCCACATTTTTAAGTAAACAAGAGATAGAAGACAAGAAAGAATGAAGAGAGAGAAATAGAAGTGAGAGAGAAGAAAGAGAAAGAAGAGAGAAAGTGGACCTAGGCCGGCTTGGATTTATACGGGCCTTTGAAGGTCCCTTTTGAGTGCTCCTTAGAGAGATGTCTTGACCTTCGGGGTTATGGTTGGGATATAGGTCTAAGATGAATGGACCTAAGTGAGTTAGGGTAGTGTATGAGATAAGTTATATGATGATCTAAGTTGAAGTCTATGGTGCAGGGTCAGAAGTTGGGAAGGCTAGGTAGTAAGAAGTTTGAGGTTCTTGGTATTAGGGAGTTTGAGGTTATAGAGAGTTGGGAGTTGGGAGTTGGGAGTTGGAAGTGGTGTGTTTGAAAGTTGGGAATTGGAAGTAGGAGGTTTGGAAGTTGGGAGTTGGAAGTGGAAGGTTTGGAAGTTGGGAGTTGGAAGTGATGGGTTTGGAAGATGGGAGTTGAAAGTGGAGGGTTTAGAAGTTGGAAGTTAGAAGTGGAGGGTACAATGGCAATTATCCAAAGTGTGAAAGTTCTCCCTCTCTTCTCTCTCTTGAAGTTACTTGAAGGAGCAAAAACCCAATTTTTAATTATGCTTCAAACTTAGGTTTACAAACGACTAAAGTTTTTTATATAAAGCAACCCCAAACCAAGAGTGGATTACTAAAAAACAACCAAAATTGTCAAAAAAGTACACATTTAACAAATTAAAATATTAATCTCATTTTTTGTCCAAATGACCAAAATACCCTTCAACACTTTTCAATAAATGACAAAACCATCTCTCTATGAGGGGCCTCTAACTATTGCTAGGCATCAGGAGCTTTTTTAGACGTTTATGGTGGCAATTCGAGCGATCAAAAGTCTTAGAATCGATGCTTGAATTATTACGCACGTTTTGATACCTTTTGATCATCTTGAAACAGATTTTTAAGAAAGAATCCAAAATCTGGTCAAGTTCCATATACTTGTGATTCTTCGATCAACAATCCGGCATAATCTATGACGTTCCAAGCCTTCATTTTAATCACAAATTGAAGAGGATATTATCATGATCATTTTGTGATAATTTCGTCTATTTTGGTCTCCGTTTAAGCACATTCCAATTTTGGGAAGTCGTCGGAAAATGAGATTTCGACGATAAAAAAATATGCCATATTCGACCTCAAAATTTGGTGTCATCCAACCTCTGATCGTGCACAAAAATTATATCAAAATTATAATCGTTGTCATCCAGCTCTTCGAAGCACGTTCGCAACGAACCCATACTTACGACGATTGGACATCAAGTTTTTGAGCTATGACATATCAAAGAATTGAATGTTCTTCTTTTTAAAATCTGAATTTTCATGTTTCGAGCCCATCTTCTCTCTAAAAATTTTCTCGTTTCTAGTCATGTATGCCATATGTCAAATGGAGTGGATTGTCGAGATCTAACTCGTGTTTGAGTTTGACCTTATTTTCCCCTAAAACGAGCAAGTTATGAGTATTTGAAAATCATCACAAAATTAAAAAATACAATTTTCATAAACAGAACCTAGTTCTTGAGGCTGCACCACAATAGTGTAAAACCTACCATTTTATGGTAAGTTACACCCATAATGGTCCTGCAGGGTCCGATTTAGCTGATATTTGGTACCTGGGGTTTTTTAGACATTCCGTATTCAATGACAATAGTCTGATACTGTTTTGAGACCCAAATAATAAGGCTATAGTTATAGAATCCATTTTCAACATGATAAGAATTGGATTTACAAACTGAATTTCGTCTTGATTATATCAAAACTTGTCAAAATGCAACGAAACTTTATAGGTGTCCTTAGGGTATCCAAAACTACCCCCTCATGTAATTTGAGATCATTCTGACACTTCTTCAAAGATCGCCTAATTTTAGGCTTATTGTTATATTGTTCCCTTGGTCTGGCGGCGTCCTAAGCACCGGTTGCACCAGGTTACAAGCGGCTCTCTCTTTATTTGGCCCGGGAATACAAGTAAAAAATGACGTATAACATCAACCTTCTGCCCCTTAATTAGAAGGTGATGAAACTCACGACCATCGATCTTCTATGATTAGTCATAAGGGAAGAACACTACCATTATGGCTTCATACAATTTCCAAGCACCCCCTCATGGTTCAATGTCAACAACAAATGGTTAGAGAAGTCAAGTGCTAGGAAAGAAATCCGAATGATAGCATGGTATATCTATGAGTGTAACAATTTATAATCTGGATGAAAAACATGCTTTCATCCGCCATCAAGTCTCCATCTTCATACATTATCATTATTAATACACTGAGAAGAAAAGAAATTTACTGCAAAAAATTGTGTACCTCAGCCCAACAAACCGAGCTTAAAGCCACGCGAAACCATACAAATACAACAGAAATACATCATGATTATAACATGTAAAGGATGGAGCAACTCAAGGTTGGCTCCACTTCTCCCAAATCCCATTATTTATCTTGCTTTGGGCCCCTGAATGTGGCGGATCAGTGAATACAGGTCCTTTGGACCAGTCATTACTTTGTTGATAGAAAGGCTCAAACTCAGATCTCCACTCTTGGTTTTCTTCTTGAAGCTCCCTGTACGCATTCTCTGAATCACGCAGTAATGGTTTCAGAGCTGATTTAGGCAGCCGGGTTTCAGCGAGAAACTGCTTAAATCTAGCAATCTCCTCCGCATGTCTTTTCTTCATTTTCTCCATTTCTTTCTTCACTTTCTGCGTCTCTTGTTTGGCTTTCACATGACCCTCCTGCTAAACAGATATTCAAGCATTAATAAAAATTATTAAAGAAATTGCTCGGCAGATTTTTTTGGTGAGGTTGTTTCTCAGGAGAGTTAAAAATATATATGGGTTTGCTAAGGAAAGTAGCAGTGGAAAAATAAAAACAAGCAAAGAAAATGATGTAACAACTTAAAAGAAATGGAAAAAAGAGTAAAAACAAATTTCTCAACCTTTCTAAATTCAAATTTTAATATGTATCTATCTACTACTTTGTGTTTTCTACTTCTGCTTCTCTTAAAATTTACACCTTATTTTTTCATGCAAACTTTACAATCACATTTTATACAATATTATTTTCAAATGAGTTTGAGTATGGTTAATACTTTGGAAAATTTTATGAGATTAAGAATAATACAGTATTTTGGAATATCTAGCTATTTTTTCACAAAAGTTTTGAAAAAGATATATTTTTCTGTACATGGTAATGTCATCTTATGATATTAAGAATAATAAAGTATTTTGGAATATTTAGCTATTTTTTCACAAAAGTTTTGAAAAAGAGATATTTCTCTGTACATGGTAAAGTCATCATGCTCCAAGAGAGTGTCACTTCATTAGAAGAATCAGAAGGAAGATGGAGTTCTATGTTTTAGTTAACTCACCTCTGCAATCGCTGCGGTCTCCTCAGCTTCTTTCAGTCTCACAAGGAGCTCTCCAGCTGTGTGCACAGCTTCTGCAGTGTCTCTCAATTGGGTTCTAAGTCCTGTGTTCTCTTTCTTGAGATACTCCCTCTCTCTCTCTCTCTCTACCCTCAAAGCTGAAAGCTCAGCTGCAAGGGAATCAAGGAACTTGGAACCACGACCCTTGGCTCCTGCTCTGGCAGCTGCTCTCTTAACATCTGCAATGCCTTCTTGGATCTTACGGTGACGCAAAAGCAAAGAGTTATACTTTTCTTGAAGCTCTGAGTAGTGTTCAATGATTCTAGCATGACCATGGATGGCCCTCTGCAATGCATCATCCAACTCCTCCGAACACTTCTTCTCTGCATTTAGTTCTTGCTCTTTTTTCTCTGCAAGTCTACGATTTGAATCAAGATCAAGTGTCAATTCTTCTGTTAAAGAAATCCAGCGGCTTTCCATCTCAGTCCATCTTTGCCTTTCAAGCTCAAATTCTTCATTATTACTTCTTTCAGTTGGGCATTGGCTTTGTTTCAATGAAATGATACTATTTGGTGTCTCATGTGAATTAGCAGGTGAGTCTTTATATGCCTGTAACTGATTTCTCAAGTCCTGAATCTCCTTGAGGAGAAATTCTCTCTCTTCTGGATTGAAAGAACTCTTGTGTTCATGCTGCAGCTCAATTTGCAGCTCTTTTGTTCCATTATCAGCATCTAACGTCCCTGTGTGGTTCTCCTGCTTGTCTCCCTCATGCTGCATTTACATTTTGAATATATTTCTTCATAACATGGTGTTTGAAAATTGAACACAACGATAAGAAACCAATTTATGAGAGTTTGCTATGAGCAAATTATCAAGTGTAGTACATGCAACAATCAGCAGAGGAAGTGTGAGATAATCCAATGGACTACAGAAAAGATTGTCCAATGGGATCATCAAATCCAATGCAGTAATTAATAGTGATGGAAAGAAAGTGAGACCCATCAGAGCAGGATATGACCCCAGCGGTGAGGCGCACTCTCCCTCCATCACTTGTCATAACTGTAAATACATAGTGATGAAATGACCCTTATAGAAAATGGTTTTCCATAATCCATTTAATCATATAATTGTCTTTCCCCTTGACAACGAAACAAACTTAAATCATGGTCATTTGACATCTCAGAAGGATGCTAAAGAGAGAATCCAGGTGAAAAAAGTTACCATCCTATTCACAAGATTAATGTCAGATGTTATCTCCCTTTTGATAGAACTTGCCAAAATGTCTCGAACTTCCTGATCCACCAAAAAGAAACCATTCTTATCACGTTTCAAGACAAAACCTAAATCATCAGAATTAAGAAGGGAAAGCATACCAAAGGCCACTATATTAAGGTATAGAGTACTCCATGCTACATCTACCACCTATTCCCAGTGACGAATAGTAAGAGATTAACTTTAGCTTGATGAATGTCCCGTGGGCTCCATATAAACTAAAACCATACATTAATGCGAACCAGCAGTGGATGCAACCCTGGAATAACGTATACAATAATCCATTGCACTATGATCTACATTCCCTATAAACATAGCAACTGGAGTCCATCATACCTTACTTACACGAACCTTAGATCCTTCTAGAGTCTCTGAGCCGTTTGAAAGTACCAACGACCAATGCGAGTAATCATGGTCATCTGTTCCATTAACCAAAGAGTTTCTGTCCATGTCCAACTTCTTGCAAGATGAACACAGATATAAAACAGGAACACCACTAAAGGGGGCTCCATCCTCTGATATTGTCTGCATGCTGGCATCCACTTTATCAACTGCTTGAGATGGTCTCCACCCCAAAGTTTGAAATGAAAACTCTACTGAGGATTGCATAGAAGCTGATCCCCTCTCATGATTTTCGATAATTTCAAGACCCCTATGAAGACTGGCAGCCAAAGACTCAGCCGGGCTTTTAATATTTTTGTTGAACGAGGCATATAATACATTGCTACTCTTTCTTACAGACTCTGCAAGTGAAGATCTCAAATTTTTTTGGGTGGAATTATTAGGAGTCTCGGATGATTGATCATGGCATGTAGAGAGATTCGATAGGTTTATGATGTTTTTCTTTCTGTTAGTTTCAAATCTTGGAGACTCACATGAGGTTGGATCCTTGAGATTGAGTGCAGGTTGGCAATCTTTAGTGGTAACTGAATCATCAGATATCCTCAAAGAATCCCTAAGTGACCCATCCTTCGTAATTTCTGCCAAATCTCCAACTGGTTTTGCAGGTCCTTGACCAATTGAAAGGTTCATGGTAGCATCATGAACATTTCTTGAAAGATCCATCTCTTCCGAGTTATTGCCTTGTAAACCCTGTCTTGAGCCATTTTCAGGGTTGGAAAAGCCATCATCGATTGAACATGTCTGGATTTCACTGGTTTGCATTTGAGAATCTTTTAATAAATCTGAATTATTTATACACCCATTTGTGGAAGCAGACAGCATGCCTGGTTCACAAGAGGGGGATTTGGCCCAGTCTTCCTCCACATTCTCTTCACAGGAAGCATGCAATTCGTCCAGTTGAATACATAGTTCCTTTACATCTGCTTCATCAATATTCATTTCTTCCTCAATAACATCATCGAGTTTAGGCAGTAACAAGGAACGATTCAGACTCGACCTAAGAATGTTCAAGCTTTTACGTGCATCAGATCCTGTAAAATACCCTCTGTTAGTATAAGACTTTCCATCTGTCTTCACTCTCACAAGCTCTTCCTGCAGCAACAAGCACATTCTCGTTAGCAGTTATTTATCAAAACAATAACATAGATAATGATTTAGAGAATATAAGAGAATAAAATAAGGTATATTAAGATTGTATGCCATTTTAAGTTTTAGATGGAAATGAGATTTATTTACCTTCAACAGCCGGATCTGATCACTTAAATCATTCATATCATCCTCTGTTATTTCATTCACAACTGCGTTGTTCTGTACAACTTTTGCTCTGAGTCCAAACCGTAAAGTGCTCAATGTCTCACACTTGCATCTGCAAAACAGCAACAATATTTCATCAATAAATGGGTAAAGGAAAAGATTCAATTTGACTATTCAATGATTCAAATGGCTACCTTTCTTCTGGAGAAATGGAGCATACAATTGCAAGCTTTGCATTGCCACCAATGCAATCCTGCAACAAGTATGTCAGACTGGACTGTTTATATGGAACACTTCTTGGTTTTCCAGACAGATTTACATCAGAAAGAGTATAGATCAAGTTCCTGTCAATTTCGAACAATAAGGTCAAAATATAGTCAAGCTTAATCCTTTTCTTAAAAAACATAACTGAAGTCGCAGAAAATCCAGCAGTCAACATGAAACAATGAAGCGTGACTGTGATATGAAAATGATGGAACATTTTTTCTTCTTTGAAACTGCGACAACCCATATTCACGGTGTCAGACAAGCATGGATACAATGGAAATCACTTTTCGCAGCATAATTAGATATGATTAAAGAAAATGAGAACGGGAATACTTTATGCATGGAAGCTAGTGCCAAAAAGATCTTAAATCTAGCAATAAAAATGCTAAATTTAATTCAGAAATTTTATCATGAACCTTATCTGAATGATGCATTATTTATTCAATGGACTGTACATTGACCAGTCAAACAGCATGCACAGGACCTGTGCATTGACTAAATATCTCCAACTATTGTACTTTGATAATAGAAATTGATGGTATTCAATTATATCTGTTTGTGTATGGAAGCCATGGAAAGCATGTTTTCGAAGGATTTTTAAACAAGACTCCACAAAACTGGAGAAACATGCAATCAGCCGACAAATTCACAATAAAGTTTCATATTTTTGGTTTGGGGAAGAGTTCCTGGTGTTCTCATGCAGCCCATTTCAATTACATTCAACTGTTCGAAGAACAAGAGGAAAACCCTTGATTGGCTTTCCAAAAATACAGTAAAACAAATGAAAATTATAGCAAGATAGGAAGAACTAGATGCAATCCAACATGGATATGCATATACCTCGTTTAGATGATACGAGGGGAGAATATCTAGACCAACACCTAACGTGTATACCGCGCTTATATCTTCCGAGGGGGAATGTGCCTTCACTGCAATCCTCATCTCCTTTAATGCACCTCGAAAAGGAGCTTGTCTTTCACTACTCTTGTCATTGAAAGTTAATCTCCCAGTGATCCCAAAGAATTACTCTAAGAAATCTATAAGGGGTTTCTCTCTTTACTTTGAGGCAATTAGTAGGTCGCTCAAGCTCTGAAGCACGCAAGTATTTGGCTCTCAATCTGATCATGTGTTGTCTCAGAAAATCCTCTTCATTGCCCGAGGCAAAAGGGGTTTTCGTACGCCATCAAGGGCCAGATTAGGGTTTTCCCCATTCAGGAAGATTGGGGTGGAGTTTGGGCAAGAGAATATACGAATTTTGTCCTCAAAATATCTTAGGCCAGACCACAATTCAGACCAGTGGCAATCTGGCAGTTAGCCCTCAAAAGCATCCCATTTTGCTGATCAAATTGATCTCAGTTTTTGAGGGCTTTATGGCAGGATTGAATTAGGAATCTTTTGCCTCAAATCCGAAGCAAGAACTCCTCAAAATCATGAGGTTTAAAATCAATTGGAGTCCACCTCTCATATCCAATGGGCTCCTCTGCACCGAGATTTGCATCTCAAATTCCTCATTGATCTTGATCAACAAAGTCCCAATCTTCGTTATAGTTTGTAGAGCAATGCAATAAGATTGATCTTCTTGCTAAAGTTCAGATCAAAACATACCAACGATAAAGGAGAAATCAAAGAAAGGATGGTCATGTCGACTACTCTAGAGAGCAAATCTTTACCTTTTGTTAGCTTCCCAATCTTGAAATAATCCCGCCCAATATTTATTTGGGTTTTTATGGCAATGAACGAGGATCATTCTCGCCAAATTTCACCTCAAAGTACCCAAAGGCATGGGAAAAATCAAAGAAAGAAGGTCCTGTCAAATGACTAGCTCTGGCTTAAAAAATGAACAGCGGTCTACCTTCAAAAGATGGTATATGGGATTTGGACCTTCAACTTTGGCTCTTTTAAAAGTGGTCAGATGGCTTATAATGCCTTAGATTAAAAACCCACAAGCTTCCATCAGGATTTATGATCATTTGAAGGGGATTCTTCATCGGTCAGTGACTTGGGCTTTTAAGGCTCTTCCAGACCATCACTCCATTAAAAGTGGACCAAACAATGTCAGAATGACTCAAAATATGCCAGTGGACTTATCACACCTAAATTTGATATTCTCGAGAGTTTTCTCTCATTTGGGAATGTTCGGATAGGTTCTCAAATGATCAATGGTCCCACTTCATAGGCAAAAATGCTACCCAGGTATCAAAACTTCATGAAATTATAAGGCAAAAGCAAGTATACTGCAAAATCAAATTTGACAAAATGTGGTGGGGAGACTTCTCCCACCTTGATTAGAATAGTCCCCAAGCTTCACTTCTTTTGGTGCTGATTTGATGCGGCCTGGAATGACAGGTGAACCGGTTTATATAGCATTTTTGCCGACTGTTCGGAAGTTCAGCTGCCAATGCAGAACCTGGCCATATGTGGCATGTGGGTGGCGGAAGAGCGAACTAGTTCACCCCAGGCTGTGCGCCATGCTTGGGGGCATAAACATCTTCACCCTCAGAGCTTCATACTATATTTGAAGATGGATTCTCTGCCACATGTCTCAATTCCTATGCTTCATGCCATGTTTGGGCTTGACATATCTTTGTCCTTTGGCCATGTTAGGCTGTTTTGATGCAAAGTTCACCCAAACAGGCCCATTCTAAGATATGTCAGTGGGAAGACTATGATATGCCCGTGAAGGAGTCAGCCTTGAATATCACTCTCTTTTGCTTAGTTCAAATCCTGAACTTTTGTCAGCTCACTGTATTTACCATGGGTCAGTAGCATTGCGCAAGCAAGAAAACTCAAGTTGATGATGGACCTAGGTATATATTATATTCAATCAAGTAACATGCACGATTAATGGATCCCCAATCCATCACCTTGCAGTGTCATATTCAGGAGAAATCATCATACATCCAATGTATACTTTGCCATTGTACACCAAGACAAGTAATCCTATCCAGCATAATTAACCGACCCAGAATATGGGTAACATAACTAACCAACTCAAAATATGATCCACTGGAGTATCTAGATCATAGGAGCCTCCCCTTTCAATTTAGTAGTGGCCAATCATGATTCCGAAAACCTACACTTTAGGTGTAGGAATGTGTTGCTGTAAAATAGCAAGCCATGCCAAAGAGGAATTAGTAATATTGATGATTGTTTTCTTTAACAAGGACATGAAGAGGCCATGCCTTTATTTCAAGAATCAGAGCTCAGGACTTCCTATTTGAGGGGGAGAATGGAGTATATTTGGGGGAACCTCAGACTAGATTGTCCCCATGGTGGCTCCATCATCACCTCGTTTACCAAGCCCTACTATGATGCTAGTTCTTTTAGCATCCCCATCTGAGGAGGTTGTAGTGTTAAATGAATGCACAAGACATATATTACAGTGGTTATTCTTTCCACATATGTAAACAATCAGTGACCTTTTGAAGATGATATATAGTATCTTTATCTATATTCTATAAATCTGATGATCCAAAATATACACGTCCCCCGTTGTGGAAGAGATCTATCAATTATCTCTCTTGCATTCTTTATGTATAATTATTTTCACAAGTATATATACATATAGGGTGCAGTTTGTATAGAGCCGAGGCTCTAAACAATCAAATTAGAGCCCACCTTCAAATAGTGTCGAGAAATGTGATTTCAATACTGAAAATCTTTGACTAGCCTTAAAATATATTTTCATCTTTAATTATATAATTTAAAGCTTCAAAAATAGCATAGATCGAGCAAATCTATGAAAATACGAATAACTTAAAAACTGACGGTCCAAGAATGTGTTACAAGATGCACTATTTCCAAAACTTGAAATCCATTTCTTTCTCAAGCCCGCGCATCTTGATGTCGAGATGATCAATTTGAGAATATTTGGGCATCAAACAACCTCTTCTAGTGAAAATTTTGAGGTAGGCTCTATTTGATTGTTTAGAGCCTAGGCTCTATATAAACTTTTACCACATATAAAAGGCAGATATGTCAAATCAACCATATCAATTGTACATAAGCAGCAAACGATTTGGCAATCACAAGCACAAACTACTATTTCTCATCAGTTGCAAGTTTAAAATGGTATCCGGGTATTAAACAACAAAAAACTGAAGTCCATCATATTCAAAGGTTACCTAAAAATCTGAAACTCTAATCTTTCAAATTCAATATCAAACTCTTTTTTTTTTTTTTTTTTCATTTCTATTTGACATGTGTTGTAATGAATTAGCAATAATAATAGAAATAGGATCAAGGTATAGGTGGTCAGAGTGGTGCGCTTCACAACATGACATCTTGGGTTTCATTCCTACCATGGGGTATGGGACTCTTTCCTCACTAAACTACCATAATACAAAAAAAAAAAAAAAAAGTGCAATAATAGCCTCAATGTTTTTTTATACGCTACCAATATCAAAGTCTTTAATTCTCCATTCTAGTCCCCAAAACCATAAAATGTTTGCCAAGCTAAGATTGCCATGTGATATGTGTTGCATTGAACTATCAATAATAGCCTTGGCATTTTTACGTGAATTATCTCATATTTACCTCTTCAAAATTGGTATTCTAATAAGCCACTTTCGTGATACATGCAAAGTAATTCTAAATTCTTGAAAACACTTTTATGTATCATCCAGATTAAGTATTCCATCCTTAATATTCCCAAACTACCACGACTCGATCTCACAAGATCAGTTTAAGCCACATTGGCGGAGGGAACAAAAACAAACTACAAACAAGAAATTAAGCACTCAAAATATATATTAAAAAAAGAAGAAGATAGAATTATACCCAAGCTGTGAAAGAGATTGATTCACATTCCTGGCTTCCTTTTTGCGCTCGTTATCTCCATTGCCGAGCTTTTGTCTCTCTAATCCAGCAAGATCAACAAGATTGATTCTGCTAGTCTTCGTACTATTAAATGAACTTGATGAAGATTCCTATAAAATATGCATTCTACAAGTTAGATTCAATAACAAACTTCAAACAAAATAAAGATATTTATGCAAATAAAGGCAAGGAAAGATCTTTGTGAAGGATAAAATCTAAAAAATGCCACAAGTAATGCAAGCCAACATTGTAACATTATGTATATGTGAATGTTTGTGTATATCATGTTTATATGTATTTCATGAAGGAAAATATGTTGTTTTTCATGTTTTATGCATGTTTATATCTAACACCAAATGTTTGCAAGTCCATTGCATCTTTTTATTCCATTAGTTCTGTTCATTATCCAAACTAATAACTTCAGAATGTGCATTTCTGGCATCTTAAACCCAGAAAATTTCGCACAGGCCCCTCAAAAAAAATTTATTTTCATTATGGTCCCTATCTCATTTTTCCTATCGCGCAGCATTAATTTTTAAAAGTATGTATCTTCCACCCCCTCCTCACTTCATTTATCTTTCCCCCCATAACTGTTCCAAATAACTTATGCATTTTTTCTAATCCTCTCTCTCTGTTCTTCCTCAGAAAAAGCAAGACATGAGGAAGGGGAGTTATCGACATAAAAATAATTCTTTGGCGTAGCTAGTGAGTTTAAAAAATAAGGAAGAGGAGAGGTATGAGGAGGGGGTGGGATGATTCACATATAAAAATTAATGCCGCATGATAAGAAAAACAGGGGAGGGTTATTATAAAATTAAATAATTTTTCAGGGATGCATATGCAATTTTCTGCTTTGAAAAGTACATTAATAATCAGTCAAAAATTTTAAGTCGATTATTGGTGCAAAATTGGGAATGAGAGAGCTAACAAATACGCTTTCCTTCCATAGCTCAAGGAACTAAAGGGTTGTCCTAAATAAAGTGATATTTTGGTAAATGCACAATTAGGGTGCATTTGACATGTGGAGTTTTTGAGAGTGGAAGGGTTTTTCCCACAAATTATGGAAGACTGCTCTTCCATCATTTTTGATGAAAGAGAGGTCTTCCAAAAATGAACTCATTTTAACACTAAGAAAAAGCTGTGTAGAACGCCGTCCTTCCACTTTACAGCTTCCACATGGTGATATCAAATATGGAAGTGGGACATTTAACTCTCACTTCCAGAAACTCTCACTTATAAAACATGCCCTTAGGAAACAAATGATAGCCTCTACAATGAATGATGGTTCCTTTATAGGAAGTTTAAAGTCGAAGGTCAAAGCCCTTTTCAATGTGAAACGACATGTGATCCTTATAAGATCATAGACAATCAAGTATAAGACTCCTGATTCAAAAAATCTCATAAGGGTGTGTTTGAAAAGAGGAAGAGGGGGCTGCCACAGCACCCTCTTCCAGAAAAAGTGGAAGACACATCTTCCGAAACATGGCATTTTTAATGGGGGCTTGGAAGACCACATTTCCACGTTGTAGCTTCCACACATCCCTCATAAATGTGGAAGCTTGATTTGGTGGAACTTGAGTTTTCCACTCCCAAAAAGGTCCACTAATCAAACTATGCCCGACGGGTTTCATCTTTTGCCTTCAGAGCTGCGCACATATATATTTCAAGAATGGGGAAAACAAGGTCAAGATTTAGGTTATATAATAGATCAATGAAGGAGAACATGCAACATGGAAGGTGAAAGAACATTAAATAAAATTACTTACATGTAGTTACTTCTTGAAATCACATTATGCAGACAAATCAAACAAAATGATCCATGTCAGCAAGTAAGAAAATTGCATTGCACAATAAACAACATCCCACTTTTTTTCTTTTTTTTATCTTTTCTTTGCTTTTCTATATTTGGAAATTAACATCCCACTTACCCTTCTCATCGAGGGATTGATCCAGTTACGTAAGAAAAATGAACAAGGAAAATATAAAGAATTGGGCATAACAATTTTATAGTGGAGTGCAGGAAGAAATATTTCAAAATAAAACAATATAGCACAAGATACGTATAGATGATTAATGGAGATCAGAACCTAAATGCTACTTAAGCACTCAGAAACCTAAATGCTACTTAAGCACTGAGAAACTCTTCAAGAGAACGGCTAAACAATGAAAGTAAAATTTACTTAAAAGTAAAACAAAGATTGATAATTACCTTGCACCAAGATTCAATGATGCAAGTGAAAACAATATGAGATCGAGAACTTTTAGAATTCATACTAGTCCCTCCCATCTTTCTATTTGAAAGTCCCTGTAATATAAGAAATAGATAAAGGTGAGTAGAGTTACTTCTAATTGAAGTTATATGTATCATGAAATCCAATAATCATACAAAAGCCCACACAAGGCAATACCAAATAAATAAAAGGATCATATACTTTGAAAGACATGGCTGGGTCAGGTTACATGCTCACACATAAAACTGTAATTATTAATAGAACGACACAAAATAAGAGTTCCAAAGAGAGCTTTACAGAATGCCTAATCCAATCATACCTTAGGCACATTGTATACTGGATGCACCAATATCATTTTCTCTTCGTTGTCACAGCACATTCTACAACAATGCCAGGTATTATTTTTTATAAGAGTATTGTGAATGAATTGCTTTACTGATTCAAATGATCATGGGTGAGCCCAATTGTCCCATCTTTCTTTTTCAATTGATGGTCAACGCGTTCATAGGCACCGACACCGTGTTTTAAAGTCATCAAGCCAACATGGGACTCACTGGAATCAACTCAACTTGGCAACCTGACAAGCCTTGTGATTTATCATGAGACTCACCTAAGTCTTGCCCATGTTCAAAATTGTGGATATGGCAGCCTACGCAGACGCCTCATGACAGGGAGATTGTTTTTTTTTTGTTTTTTGGAGGCGGGTTGTTTGAGGTTTGGTTTAATGTATGGTATAATATACATATAAGGAGATGTGGTGGTGTACATATACATATTATATATTATCGTCATCATCATCAAAACCTTATCCCAACTAATTGGGGTTGGTTGCATGAATATTGTTTCTTCATTCTGCTCTATCAAAGGCACACCTTCAATAAGACCATAAGTCCTCATATCTTTTCTTACTACTTCTATCTATATCGTTTGGGCCTTCTTCTTGCTCTTTTAGAGCCTTCCACTAGAAAAAAATCGCACCTCCTAACTGACATTGTATTGGGTTTGCGTTGCACATGGCCACCCACCTAAGTCTACTTTCTCTCATCTTATCACCTATTGGTGCCTAAATTCTCTTGAATGTATTCATTATGAATTTTATTCCTTCTTGTCTTGCCACTCATCCCTCTCAACTACACTCATTCGATGTGTATGTTATTTCTTGACTGTCCAATATTCTACCCCATAAAGTAAAGTTGGTCTCATAGATGTCCTATAGAACTTTTCTTTTAGTTTCATTGGCATGCAGCAATGACATAAAACTCCGGTTGTACATCTCAATTTCACCCACCCAGCTCTAATTTATATTTGACATCTTCCTCAATCTCTTCATTTTTTTGGATTATCGACCCAAGGTATCAAAAGTGCTTTCTTTTAGGTATATCTTAGTCAACAATCTTAACCACTTTCTCATTTCTACTCCTATTATTACTAAACGTGTATTACATGTTCTATCTTAGTCCTACCGACTTTAAAACCTTTAGATTTTCAAAGCATCCCTCCAAAGTTTTAACTTTGCGTTGACACTGCTTCTAGTCTTATTGATCAAAACTATGTCATCCGCGAATAACATTCACTATGGTAGCTTTCACCAAGGTATCGAAAGTTTTTTCTTTTAGGTATATCTTAGTCAACAATCTTAACCACTTTCTCATTTCTACTCCGAGTATTACTAAACATGTATTACATGTTCTATCTTAGTCCTACCGACTTTAAAACCTTTAGATTTTCAAAGCATCCCTCTAAAGTTTTAACTTTGCGTTGACGCTGCTTCTAGTCTTATTGATCAAAACTATGTCATCCGTGAATAACATTCACCAAGGTAGCTCATCTTGTAAGCGCCTAGTTAACTCATCTATAACAAAAACAAAGAGATATGGGCTCAACACTGACCCCTGATGTAGGGTTATTGCCATTAAAAAATCAATTCTCTCCATTAGTTGTCCGCATACTAGTTAGTGCTCCCTCTTACATGTCTCTCACCATGTTAATGCAGCATCTAAAGACTCTTTTCTTTTGTAACACCCACCAAATTAAATCTCTAGGTACTCTATTATAGGCTTTTTTTAAATCAATAAAGACCATATGGAGGTCTTTTCCCTTCTCCCTGAACTTCTCAATCAGTTGTCTAAGTAGGAAAATGGCTTCAATTGTTGATCACCCTAGCATAGAGCCAAATTGATTTTTTAATACGCTTGTTTTATGCCTTAGTCGTTGCTCAATCATTCTCTCCCACAGCTCCATAGTGTGACTCATAAGTTTGATCCTAGATGATTCGCACAATCCTATATGTTCCCTTTGTTTTGAAAATAGGTACTATAATAATACTTTTCCTCCATTTGTTTGGCATTTTCTTTGTTCTCAACACTTTGTTGAATAACTTGATCAGCTAGCATATTCCAATCTCTCCCATGTACTTCCAAACCTCTATTGGATACCATCTACTCCTAAAGTCCTTTCTACCTTCTACTTCATCAAAGCTACTTTCATTTCAGATATCTTAATCTTACGAATGTATCTATCACCTCCACCATCATTTATGCCAAATTTACATACAATATTACTTAAAAAAGTGGAAAGTTAGAGAGAGAAAAGGAGGGTAGAGACCTATCATCTACCTTCACTCTCTCTATATATAATATTTAATATTATGTAATATATCAATGTAATAATAATGTAGCACTATACTATTAATTTAGTACTATAGTATTATATAATATACTATAAAATACATATTATATTGTACTAATAATATAAAGTAATAAATTACTAGTATAGTAATTTACTATAGTACATATAGTACTATAATATATAAATATTTTTATGGAACTATAGTACTACACTGGTCAATAGATAGTAATAATGGCAAGTATTATATAGTATTATACAATATATAATACTAATTTAATATAGTACTTTATATTACTATAGATTAAGAGTGCAGTTTGTATAGAGCCGAAGCTCTAAACAATCAAAGTAGAGCCCACTTTCAAAATAGTGTCCAGAAATATGGTTTCAATACTAAAAATCTTTGTGATAGCCTTAAAATATATTTTCATTTTTAATTAAAAAATTTAAAGCTTCAAAAATAGTGTAGGTCGAGTAGATCTATGAAAACTTGAAAATCTTGAAAATTAACGGTCCAAAAATGCATTACAAAATGCATTATTTCCAAAACTTGAAATCCATTTTTTTCTCATGCCCATGCATCATGATGTTGAGATGATCAATTTGAGGATATTTGAACATCAGAACAACCTCTTCTAGTGAAATTTATGAGGTGGGCTCTAATTTGATTGTTTAGACCCTTAGTCGATATAAAATTTTTCCATAGATTAAATGCTACCATGAACATATATTATACTACATAATATAAACATATATAATTTATAATATAAGAAAGAAGGGAGAGGGAAAGATGAGAGTCTTGGCCATGGTACCAGGTGGTACGCCTAGAGGCACCTCCACCTAGGGTGCCCACCTAGGGCATGCCTAAATGTTTTCAGATGTCCAGGCGACCAAATTTTCAAACACTAGTCTTGCCATTATATATGTGTAAGGAGACTAGCCAAGTAGACTCCATATGTCTCAAGACCATGCTTTGTCCCATAATGGTTGGGCGCTGAGCAAGTTTCAAATTCTTTATCCTACCCCATGGGAGCTAATGCTTTTGACTATAGGACAAAAAAAAAACAAAGAATCATTTGCATAACTCCACTTGAGTAGGCACTGAAGGGAAAGAAATCAAATCATTATTGGATATTATAAATGTAGGTTATTACAGGTACTTTAACATGGAGAAGTTAACCACACATGAAGAGGCAAATGGGATATGACAAAACGCTTCAGAGCATGGAACAAGAATGATCATTAGTGTGTCCATGTTCTAAACTAGAACCATCCACCAACATTAGTTTCTTTGGTACCAAGATACTAAAATTTTGTCCAGAAACATAAAAAAGGTTTTCAATAGAGTATCAAAGCATACGGTTCTCTAAGAGCTCAAGGTCCACATCTCAAAGACTCTTTTCTAGTTTGAAGATGCAATTCCTTGCAATGTTCAAAAATTCGGCCGCCCAGTCCCTAACCGCCTAGGCGGGACCTAAGCGACTACCCAAGACATCCTTGTCCCTAGGTGGTCGCCTAAAGGCGAGCGCCTAGACAGCGCCTTGGAACAAGGTCGATTAATGGGCAATATCCCTCGAGCTTCAAATTCTAAGAGTAATGTTCATAGTAAAAGAGCCAAACTCCAAGTGAACAATGTTCAATCTTATACGTGTTGGGACAAGGGAACTATGAATAAATGTGTTGTCAAAAATATTACTAAACAAATGAATACCTACACGTGTGCTCTCAAGAATACTATGATTTAGACGTATTGGGCAAGGGAACTATCAATAAACAAACAAATACCTCAATGTGTGGTTGATTATAAAAATATTTAGATAGTACTGTATCCTCTAAAGATACAGCCTCATGTAGAAATTTGTTTCTACACATGCAAATTGTTGGACATAAAAACTATTAATAAACAAATAGGTTAAAAGTGGGTTGCCAAAATTTATACACGTGTAAGTTGTTGGACATGGATGGACATATAAGGAAGTTGTTTATAAAAATATTAATAAACATAGACACTTGTCCATCTAAGGCACTTGTTTATAAAAGTATTAATAAACATATATACACTTACAAGTGTGCTCTCAAAATTTATACACGTGTAAGTTGTTGGACATAGATTTACAAAAATATTAATAAACATGTAGAAAATATTAATAAATACATAGACACTTACAAGTGTGCTGTCAAAATTTCTATACATGTAAGTTGCTGGACATAGATAGACATATATCAAACATATACTTACACATGTTGTTGTTTACAACAATACTATGACATGTTTTTAAGGCAGTTGTTTAGAAAAAACTTATAATAAGTATTTACATATGTGTTGTCAAAAATACTATGGCTTAACCTGTTGCGCCCCTCTACCCTTCTCCTTGTTCGTGGGCAGGAGTCTCCGCATGTTTTTAACCTTGGTCCTTATTTCTTCCTTAAAAAAAGCATGCGAAATACATATAATATATTGTTTTCTTGGAGTTCTAGTAACTGCAAGAAAACAGATACCTAAAGGAGTTAGACCTTGTTTTCATTAATTATGGAGAGTACGTTCAAGGGCACCCAATACCCTAAGAGCATTGTTAGGGTAGGGCTTTCAAAGACATCGATCCGAATAATATGGGAGCCTTGGGTAATCATACTCAATATATGGAGTCCAGAACTCAAGATTATAAATAATATGAAACTTTAAATCTTTTCTCACTTAAAACTTCTGACATGGTCCTAAGTGGATTGGTGAGTGATTCCTAAAAGGTAGGAATCTCAATCCCAAATTGATGGACCAATGATTCCAACGACATAGGAATCACGATTCCTATTTATTATATCGCTATTATGGATGGCATTTATAGGAGTGGATTTATGTGTGATTTTGGAAAAGCAAGAAACTCAATTCCAAATTGATGGGATGGCAATTCCCACAAGATAGGACACACAATTCCTATGTTATTGGATCACGATTCTGATATAGAGGGAATCATGCAACAGTTGATTTGCATTGTACAGACGACGATTCCAACTATATGAATCGTCTAAAACCCACGATTTGGATATTCTGGTTCTTGAAATAATTTAAAATCACAGGCATTTCCATCAACTATAGTCATGACAGAGAGGGTTATTCCTGAATATTGATGAAATAGACATTGGATTTAAACGAAGCATCAGGCAGCCTGGCTTGAATGAAGTACTTGAAGCCTGGCTTTGAAGGAGGGACATAGCCTTCAATTAATTAGTTTTTGACTTGCGCAGTTAAAACCAGTGATAGAAACTCACCATGTTGAGACAACTCGGCCTCCAAGTAAGCTGTGTCAGAGTCTTAGACTAGATCGATTCTCATAGATTTATGTCAACTTTGTTTTGTTTTTTTTCAAGGTCACACAATTCTTGTAATACTCCACCAAATCTTATTGGTTAAATCAATGAAGTTTAATCCCAATTGCCATTCTACTAAATTCCCCTGAGTTCATAAATTTATAAGCAAGAACACTTACATATGTATTGCGTCCAAAGTCTTCCAAGCATAAAATGAATAATAAATGACTTCCACCATAGAACAATCATATAAAAGCTTGTAATCAAGAAAAGATTCTATCGAATTCAAGATATCGAGGTGAATCCCCCAACTTAACAAGCCATACTAAGAATAACAATCCAAAAGACAATAATGGTGAATACCTTGATTAAAAGATGGGTTATATCTTCCACTGCAGACACATATTCCTCTGTCAAATTCTCAACATACACACTATTCTTCACATCTTCTTTAATCTGATGAACACAAAGGAAACGCCAATGGACCAAACGATAAGGTATACAAAAATACATACCATAATTGGATTTTAAAGCAAAAAACTATAAATAAGAGATAAAAAATTCAGTAAATTCTCAATTATCTACTTGGAGATTCCGTTGGGTTGGATCCAGCAAATCTGAGATTTTGTCATTGTAAATCTGTGACAGCAAGAGCCAAGTAATTAGTAAGAATTTGGTGAAAACCCGAAATATGCAATATTGATAACCTAAAACTTACCTCTAGAAAGGAACATCGGCATTGGTAATTGACCAACTTATCACTGATTTCTTGTTCCTGAAAGAACCAAAATAAGTTATTAACTCCCAGTCTATCACTCCCTTACATCGCAGCACAAAGAAAAGGCCCTGTACCCACTTTTTGTATCTCCAAGAATAGCTGCTTAAATATACGGGGAGCAAGGCCATGTTGGCTGTTGCAAGAGATTTCTTCAACCATAGAATTTTGGGGGCCCCACATTGTGTATGTCTTTCCACCGCCAGTCTAAATGAAAATAAGAAATTTACTTTGATTTCCAGGAATATCCAATACAAAATGAAATGGATTTGTGAATAGAAATTGAAAAAGAAAAAAACTACGCAAATTATCACGGGGTTGATTTAATTACCTGGCCATAACACAAAATCGAACAATTAAACCCAGCTAAGCAGTTCTCCACTAGTGGGATGCCAACCAGCTTAAACATATCTTCCTGGGACATGCGAACAATCCATTTTACCCTAATTCATAATAATTCATAATAATTCATAATAAATGCACTTATATTTCACAAATGTTAATGTCTCCTTTCAAACCAGTGTGGTACTACCATGCATGTACAGGCAGTCTCATCCAATTTCATCATAGAAGAGAGAGAGGAAAAAGATCAGAAACCCGCATAACATTTACTCCCCAAAAATCTATAAAATGAGCAGGTTTGATCCCTGGGCATAGAAATGCAGAACAGAAGTACTGAACAAAATGCATATGCTTCAACTACAACTAAAATCCGCATAATACCTAATTACCTATGTTTACTCCCCAAAAATCTATAAAATGAGCAGGTTTGATCCCAGGGCATAGAAATGCAAAACAGAAGTACTGAACAAAATGCATAAGCTTCATCTACAACTAATTTATGGAATCCATGCCTGCTTCCTATAAATTCCTAATAACTTCCTTTCTCAATACCCCTAAGCCAAATTACTCGTAACTGAGGGAAATTATACATTTTCTTCCAGCGAAAGAACCCCCAAAAGAAATAATGTGTGCTCTAATTCATCAAATACGAATCTGCAAATTAAGCATGAAACCACGGCTACTCAAAATTTTCAAAATTTAATGTAGTAGCTCTATACCAAATAAGCAATTATTTGTACTAAAAATGCAACTAATTGAGTACCTGAGTGGATTTTGAATCGAGAACAGAGTCAAATCCAAATATTTGGTCACCAACAGCCAAAGAATCAGAAGACACATTTCGCACAATTTGTGATCCTTCACTTTCGAGATTACTTTGTGGCCTAATCCTTGCAAAAACCTTCACAAAAAAAATTATATATATAAATATTTATACATATATATTTTCGTATGTCAATTTCAAATCCAGTGAACACCAGTTAAAACAATAAAATCTAACCTGAATTTCAGTGAAAAACATGAGTACCTTAACATCAGAACCAGAAGAAGCAGATGGAGATTTACATTCTTCATTGCTTTTAGGATTGCGACCCTTTTCAACAGATGGTTTTTGAAAAGAAGGGAGAGAGTCGATCTTCTGAACGTTGGGATCGACTCCTGGATTGTTCTCCTGTCCCCATTTGAACTTTCTCTGATCTCCATTAGGAACCTGCTGCATTGAATTGAAGCTTGGAGATGAAATCCCCTTTAATGGTCCACCTTTTCTTTGAGAACCACTTGATTTCTTCATCTTGGATTTCAAATGAGAAATAGCCAAAGAGAGACAGAGAGAGTGGTACAGGAACGCGAATGTGAGAGCGAAAGAGAAACTGGTATAAAATTTCAGGAGAGAGAGAAATAGGGTTAAAATCTCACTCTTTAAGTACAGTTAACAAGACCGAAGGAGCGCAATCAAGGACAACGTTTGAAGTGGCTGAAATTTTGATGAATTGCCCTTCAATTTGTTAAATAATTTCAACTACCCTTCTGAGGGTGAAGGTTAAGTTACTCTTACTGGGTAACTTTTCTTTTGGCTGAAGGACTTTTTATGAGCCCATGTAGAAATGAGTCGCCTCTTAAAAGTCTACTTTTTTAGATGAATTTTGAGAATTAATTTTTAATGACACCTAATTTCTAACATGGAGATCATGAAAGTTAAAAATAAATATATTTTAAAAATTAAAAATAATAATTATATTAAAAAACAGTTGGATTGTTAGTTTCAATTGTTTTTAAATAAACCTCTATTTACATCTGTTTGTAATATGGATGTTTTATACCTCTAGGAATCACAAATATGAAAATGTAATTCCTGCCACATGAAACAATTTTCTTTTTGTTAATTTTTCTGAAATTTAAATTCAATGGTATAGAATTTAGACCAAGATATTTGTATATATTTGAGAATTTACATGTCATAGTAACCAGTAAATATTTTTGGATAGTCCATATTTATTTCTGTAATAAAAGTCATAGGAGGATGCTTTTGTTATATTGGATAGGTTTAGGGGGGATTTTTGCGTTAGTCTAAAAGGGTCGAGTTTATCGAGCGGAATTCTAGAATGGGGATTTAAATTTTGGTGGGGTCCATTTGGACAGCTGCTTTCCTGTGGATTTTTCAAAAGCACATCGAGATAGCCGTTGCTTTAAATTTAAAGGCAAAATTACAAAAAACACCTTAAGATGGGCTATCTGTGTAACTTACTCGATCCCAATCTTTTCTCTCACTTTTTTTTCTAAACAATTTTTTTTGTAAATAACCCTCGTCAACCCAAAAGTACCATGAAATAAGACTAAACTGCCTTTGTTTGTTTTCACATACCATTCTCTCTCCTATTTTCATACGCACTCCGGTAGTACAAACATGCGCTCCGACATTCTGAATGTGCGCTCCGGCAATACAGGTGTGAGTCGCAATGCTCTGGCATTATAAGAATTCGCTCCGGTAGTGCAAAGATGCGCTCCGGTAGTGCAAAGATGCGCTCCGGCATTTCGCTCTGGCAATGAAGTCTTTAGAGCCACAGCGCTCCGGCAATGGAGGACCGTGTTCCCGTAGTATAAACAAGCGCTTTGATATTCTGAATGTGCGCTCCGACAATGCAAGTTGGAGCCACAGTGCTCCGGCATTATGAGAACGCGCTCCGACAGTACAAGCAGTGCGCGACTTGGGACCCGCAAATTGATTTGATTTGTACGAGAAGGGCATTTCCTTCCAAAAAATAAAACTTCATATCAAAATTATTGGGGTAAATAATAAAGAATTGTATACCATGAGACCATGCACTTTTGGTACAAGGAGGTCACAATGATCCTTAGCCATTGGATGTGAAATTTAGCCGCTCAAAGTGTGTCACCTAGTTTGAGAATTTTTTTTTTACCTTGTCTGTGCACATATTGTCATGGAAAAGTATATAAAGGAATTATTTACTTTTGATACAAAGAGGTTACAATCACTTTTTGCTCATCAGATTTCAAATTGGGTGGTTGTAAAAGTATCATTGAGACACAAAGTTCAAAAAAAAATAAAAAAATAAAATTCTCGAACTTCGTGATGCAACTTAAGCAATAAAATTTGATATGCAATGACTGAAAGAAAGACTAATGTGATATTGCCAGAGAATTTTTTTTTTTATTTTTCTTCTTTTCACCCTTTTTCTTTTCTTTTGGCAAAGATCACTTACAAGTAGTCTCATTACAACAATTTTTGCTTTAAAGAAAATAAAACTAACAAATCCAATATCTTAAAAACATTGATGTCCTTAAACCAATTTTCTTTAAACAAATAAAATATCCATAATTCTTATGTTTGGGATTATAAAACCAATATAATTAAATACAACAAGAAAAAAAAAAAGATAGTGTCAGATATTACCTCAATTGGGCTTATTACACCCCATACTGAGTCACCAATATCCGATGGCGCGCGATCAACAGTTTAGCTTCAATGTCGAACCGGGAAAGCAAATTTCGGCAAAACTGAGCATTCAGCCTTAAATCTCTACAAACTCTAACCCCGAAAATTTTATTGGCTTACTCGTAATTTCCCAATCCTTAGTATTTTTAGAGCATGAGAGAGAAAGTGGAAGACCTAAGGTTGGGGCGTGCGCCTCTAGATGCTTAGGAGAGAGAAGGTCAAAGAGAGAAAGTTGGAGAGAGAGAGAGCCAGAATAGAGAGAAAAGTGTAGAGACTAGGGAGAGGGTACACCCCTATTTATAGAGAAAAATTATGTTTAGGGTTTTTTAGGGTTTCTCATAATTTGCCTCTTTCTTGATATTGAATATGGACCGTTGATCAATGTGACTTGTGGAGTGAGAGATCGGAGTCATCCATTCCATAAATGTGCTATCAACATTACGGAAGGTGCTTGGACCATTATCTCACTTTCTTTAAACTATTTCCAATCAATATAGTTAAATAAATTGAATCTTATTTATCTTATTTATATATTATTCATTTCATAAAATAACATATTCTTTCCCATACTATTCAAAGATATGTCAAGTTAAGATATGCTTTCAATATTTAGGATAAGATGATCGATCTTTTCCATATCTAATATTAGATCACATGCCATAAGGTACATTTCCTAAATTTAAATAACTTGACAATAACGCAAACAACCAAAAGGTGGGGTGTGCCATCCATGTGTGGCACATGTGAGCCCCACCCACATGGTACATGGTAGGCCCATGTGCACTATGGGCCCCCATGATATTTAACAAATTAATTTCTAAAATATTATTTGAATTTTATACTTTTGTAAAATCAAAAGCTTTATTTTTATAAGTCCAAAAAGTATAAATAAAATATCAAAAAAATCATAAAAATTCAAATAATAATTCTAAAATAATTTCTATCATAAAGCAAACATAATTAAATTAATATGATGGGAAATTGATCCATATGGTTTAGGAATTGAATTAACAATCATAAGGCACTCTACCTTTATCAGACCGACCAAGTGTTTCTCATGACCCACAATCCAAGCATAGGCGCATTAGCGGGTGGGTCACCAAAGTCCGGCCGATGAGTCAAGGGGTCACAATCCCAGTATGTAGATTTCAGGTCCTTCTCTAGAAATGACTCAAGGTCATCAAGACCTTATGCGACCACAACTCTATGATGCATATGAGTATCTCTCGCACATGCATACGTTTCACCCTAGAAGGTGGATATCTGACTTTCTTGAACAATCTATCGATATGCATGTCGTGTGATAGATCATGAATGAGGTTTCGACCTCTGTCTCCGTAGGCCCACCATCACACACAAGGGTCGCACAGTTCCTTGGCTCATTCATCCAGATATAAACTCCGACCTCTTCAAAGGATAACCTAAAACCCTTCTCGATTTGTTCTCTATGCCCAAATACCTTGGGTTTTCCAACCGACTGGTCTAGATCGTCAAGCACAGCCCGGTATCAGCAAACATCGTTTGCTTAGTATGGTTCACGATGGACCACACTCCCATTGAGTTCATGTTCCACTATATTTTTTTTTTTTGGGATTGCACTTTATTTATTATTTAGTACAAAATACATAATCCTACCGAGTGATTTAAAATTCAATTAGAAACTTAAGTTAAATTTTATCAACCCAAAAAAATGAAACTTTCCATAGAAAAGCATTAAATGAATTTGTAGAAAACTTTTTTTTTTTTTCAAAAAATAGAGAACCAAGCAAAAGGCATAAAATTAAATATAATATTTAAAAGAATTCAAATTTCTTAAAAAAATGGGATGAATATTTTCAGAAAACTAGAGAACCAACAAAAAAAATTCAATTTCATTAGAAATTATAGAAAATAACAACAAAACATTTTCGAAATCCATCTAAAACAATTTAAAACAACAAGCACTCATAAGGCCTTTAAACCCAACAATGACTAGGAATAATAGTGACCTTCTTATAACAAAGATAAATGGTCTTATAGTACAAAACCCATATCCAACAGTATCTGTCCCTAGCTTAGATGTGAAGGATTATAAGATCAAATACTAGTCTAAGAAATTGCCTATTGGCAACCATGGCTAAAATTTTGGATGGTAGGAGAAAGCTTGTACAATTTAAATATTAATAATGGAATAAATTGTGCTTCTTCTTCTTGCTTTAATAGCAATGAATGTAGATGGAAATAGTGCATACATGGCATATGAGATTATGGCATATTAACAAAGATAAGTGCAAAATTAGTGAAAATTGGGTAATACCTAATCTTAAAGAAATTAACTTTCAAGTTTGTGGGCCCACTAAGATAAAATTTGGCTAGAAAGTCATAAAAATTTCTTACCTAATTCTGACATTAAAAGTACTAAAAATTGTGCAGATCGAAAATATCTATAAACACTTGAAAATTTTTAAAACATACGGTACAACGACGTCATTTTTAATGCTCATTGTTTCCATATCCGCACACCTTGAAGTCGACATAATGAACTAAAGGATTCTCAAGAGGAATAATCTTAGACAATGGATTTTTGAAGTAAGGATTGTATATAATGAGGCCTTTTATCTTTGGTACAAAGATGTCACAATTATTTACAACCATCCGATGTGAAATCTAATAGCTTGCGTGTATCACAAGGTCCAATAAATTTTTTTTGAACTTTATATTTGGTCAATCAAATAAATGCAGCCACCCAACTTCACATCCAATGCTCAAGATTGATTATAACCATTTTGAACCAAACAAAAATAATCTCATTCTCCAAATTTTGTGCATAACTACTTCACAAAAACAAAACTTTGATACGCGGGGCAATTTATTTCAAATACAAAAATTCGACGCAAAGGCCCCAATGAGAATTGGCTTGTACCAACATTGTCACCACCAAATCGTTTTGTCATTACCAAATCATGTCATGTTGACATCATACTGCACATCTCATTGCTACAAATACATCAC